ATATTGTGCATATTACAGGTATTCCCTATAATCCTCAAGGACAGGGAATAGTTGAACGTGCTCATGGCACATTAAAAGTGCAACTTCTAAAAATAAAAAAGGGGGAGTTATATCCCTCCTCACCCAGAAATTACTTAAATCATGCTACCTATATTTTAAATTTTTTGCAAATTGATAAGCATGGCCATTCAGCAGCAGAAAGATTCTGGCATCCACAAGGTTCTCCATATACCTTGGTAAAATGGAGAGATCCCTTAACTGGTCAATGGTATGGACCTGACCCCATTTTAATATCGGGCCGAGGTTATGTTTGTGTTTTCTCACAGGAACATGACGGAGCTCGATGGTTACCAGAGAGATTGGTTCGTCACGTGGATCATCCTGACAAATCTACATTCAGTATCACGGGATAGTAACCTCCACAATCATTACCTTTATGTGAAGAAGAAACAAAAATAAGCAGTACTACTATTTTATGGAAGAGGTGCTATGTTACTATACCTCAAGAAAGACCATTTAATGACACATCTCAAAACTTTTTGGACTAATCACTTGGACTTAAGCTTGTCTGCAGGACTTTGGTGGACAAATTCAGGTTTTCCTCAAACCAACATCTGGAAGCTTACTGCTGCATTGGGAGAAAATATGTTTATGGTCCGATGTCAAAGTTACTAGCCTTAGTTTCAATGTTTTTAACATAGAGACTTTTAATATGTGAAATACCGTGAATACTGTGTCATCTCAAGTCAAAGAACAAAAGAAAAAGATAATGTCTAGTGTTAATCCTCCTTATATGTTATTGGTAAGAAATATAGAGATTGCTTATGAAACTGATAATGAATAGAACAACAGCTGTTTTAATTGTAAATTGCCCAATTGTATATTCTCAAAAACGATGACTTCCTTTCATTCTGTGATGGTTTTGAGACAACCTCTCTTCATAATGATGCTTGTAAAAATTACATGTCAAGCCTCCACAACCTACGATCTAACCCCTGCAGAGGCTGGTAGTCAAAGACGGGTAAGAGAAGTGTAGAGAAATATCCAACCTAAGACAGAGCATGAGTACCAAAATTCTCATGGCTTGATGACGGGTAAGGGATTTCTCTGGACATTTCTCACCTAAGACAGGCACAGCCTTTCTGCTGAGCTGGGAAAGTCCCTGCTCTAAATATAATAAAAAGGGGGATATGCAGGGGCCCAGCCATGGCCCACTGGAGTTTGACATTTGGAAAATAACTTCTTCCTGTATAATTAAGGCATCAACATTTGCTACTTTTCAAGGAAACTGTTGAGCTTGTTTTGATTCTTTGACCCTGGCATAACAGGAAACTCATTAGTTGAAGATCTGATGTTATCTTTAAGAGTCAGGAAATCCGGTCTTTGCATAAAGATAAAAACAATTGCTTGGTGCTTCCTGTTGTTGTGTGCCCTTAAAAGCTTCCTGTTGATGTGAACCTATAAAAGGAGCTGTTTCTGTGAAATAAATCAGACTTCTCTTGGTCTCCACTCAGGCTGGAGTGTTCTTTCCTTTCTCAATCCTCACTCCCCGACTCAGGCATGTTCGTGTGGTGACGGCTGGACTGCCACACAGTGGCTAATGTGGAGACACCGCTGAATGTGCATATTTCACGAGTACGCTTAGCCACTGCAGCTGAGCATCCCGGCCTGGCAGCAGAACTACCAGGGGCTAAAAGTGTACCCACCTAGACCCTGTTTCCACTGTGCCCTTTGAGAAGCAGTGTGTGTCAGCTCCTCACTTTCTTTGGCAGCACTCAGAATCTCCTAACACTCTGAGTTCAAAGGCCAGGGATTGTGAAATGTGTCTTTTGTCTTCATCCCCTCTCCTGGCATAGAATCCTAAGATCCTTGGGCTCCTCAGGGACGGGTGCTAATGATGGACTGCTGGCTGACAGCTCCTCAGCAGCTCCAAGTTGGGGCCTGGTCACCAGAACGATGGAGGCAGAATGAGCAGGCTGGAACTTTCCCAACCCCTAGGTTAAGTTAAGGTTGAAGTGATCGTCACTGGAGATGGTGACTCAGTCCTGCCTGTGCCATCAGTCTCTGTGATAACACTACAAGACACACCGAGGTTCCTGGAGGGTGAAGTGTCCAGAAAGGCAGGGATGCCCACGTCCTTTCTCCCACACCTTGCCCTGTGCATCTATTTCTTCACTGGGTTTTTACTGCCATCCTCTGTCAGATTTTACACTGTGAACCAGTGAACCTAAGGAGGAAAAGGGCTCTGCGTGGGGTGGAGGTGGTAGAAGTCACAGCGCACTGAGGTCAGGCTTGTACTTTCAACCAAGACTGGCTAATGCTCTCTCAGTGCCTCCTAAGAGTCTTTGCACTGGGTAAGCAGTGGAATCAGGGCGCTGGCAGCTGTCTGCCACCCCCTTTGCAGCCCTGTGGTCCTGCACCTTGCCTCTGCTCCATCAGCTTTCTCTTATGCTGACGTGGACCTGACTGCCACAGAGGAGGAAACTCAGCCACTGATTTTAAAAAGTAGGCTCATTCTTGCAGGATTTCAAGCTCCCTTTGGGTTTAAAAGGTAATAGGGAAGCTCTGCAGAGACCCCATCTTGCAATTCTGGTCTGTAAAATCCTGTTGCACAGGCTGCTTGCAGCAGAGGGAAAATTCAGTTCCTTTATGTAATCTTGAGCAGGATACTTCACCTGTTGGAGGCTTACTTTCTTCCTGAATATGGTGTAGGCAGTTACTAGCAATCGCTCAGAAACTGCCCATGAATTGTGACTGAGCCACTCCAGATGGGGCTGGCACAGGCCAGCCACCCATGGGGCTTACCCAAAGGTGCCCTCTCCTTTTCTCCTGCTAGTCTAGGAGCTCCCTGGGGCAGACACCTAGCCCTGTGTCTCCAGGGCCATACCAGCCCAGTTGCGAGCTGGGGCGGCCGGCCCTTCCTTCCCCACAACTCAGCTCTGTGGTCTTGTCCCACTGGTTTCTTGGCAGGACTCCTGCGTCTGCCCGCTGGGATAGGGGCCTGGCAGGGCACTCACCAAGGCTCCTTCCAGGCATGTGGCGTAGTTGTAGCCCCTGCCCATCACCAGCAGGGATCTCTGTGTGTAGAGCTCCAGGGCCAAGTCATGGATCTTCTCTTCCAGTGACAGCACCTCCTTGATCAGCTCTGAGACATGCACACAGCAGAGGGAGAAATTCAGTCATTCTAATTTTAAAACAACTTCATAAAGAAAGTTGTAGGTTCTAGAACTCAATAACTTGGTGTACTTTACTTCCTTGCATCAGTTTAGCAGGGCTTTAAAATTAGATTATGGGGGAATAACTTGGGTTTCAGGCTAGAAATTTGTTGGAACAGTAATTTGCATTTGTGCGACTTTGAAAAGCACTGGTAGTAGGTAGGGGACTATTATTTCTAGCTCCATTTTACAGGAAGGTGCCTGAGGTTCTAAGAGATGAAACCACCAGCTCGCAAAGCACCGTGGACACTCCAGACGCCTCCCAGCTAAGGCTCAGGGCCCCTGGGCCAGGCACTAAGACTTTCCCCCAGCAGGCCTCCTTCACAGTCCTTTGGAGCCTTGTTCTCATGCGTTAGCTCGCATTATCTAACACATTAGAAAATAACATTGAGAAATTTAAAAACATTCATTCATTTAAAATAACAATAAACCCATTATATTACTTTATTTTTCTGGGGAAAAGTGGGCGAGAATAGTGACAGCTGCTTAACATTTTGCATATCTTTTCAACGTTTAATAAAAAGCACCTGGCTCTTTTATGTTTCCAGATTCACTTTGTTGTGGATTTTTTTTTTTTTTTGGTTGACGTATAAATTGGGCTTCCAGAGACAAAGTAAATAATTTTTTCAAATAATTCAAATATTCTTTGATACTACATCATACTTGAGAAGGGGCAGTTCTTAAATTGGTAATTTCAAATACAGAATTTGAATCCTATCAATAAAGTTTTCTTCTGATTTGTTACATTAATATTTATATTATACTTTAAATGGCTCTATACACATGCAGGATTTTGTAACATCATGCATTGCCCACAAAACGATGTAAATCTAAAAATGGACACATTTCATTATAGAATATATTTTAGAAATCACATTTGTTAAAGCCACCATGATCTCATCAGAAAAGTCGGGAAGGGCTGAAGCTCACGGTGGTAGATACAATTTACCGAAATTCTAAGCTTTGAATCAAAGCTTGAAGTCCACTACTGGCAACAAATTGTGCTGTTTGCTCCCCTGAAGTGCCAGGCTAACAGTTCATTTCTGAGCAAACGTCTGCCAAGTCCCCAGGTCGGTGGCCACTGGGTGAGGACGGGGAGAAGAGGCCCGAGGAGGGCGCGGGGCGGGGCAGGGCTGGGCCGGAGCCTGGCTGTGGGAGCTGCGGGAGGGTGAGCCATGGGTGGCTGCGCTCGGGGAGGTGACAAAAAAAGGAGTCTTCTGAAGGGCCGAGGACTGGAATGCGGCTCAGAGATGCAGAGACTGGTCGGGACTTACCAGGTAAGGACCGCAGGCCGCGTATGATCTCTTGCCTCCGGTTTTGCAGTGAGATCCGGTCTTCAGACATCATCAAGCCAAACATCACCAGAGAGATGAACTGGCTGGTGTAGGCCTGTGGGCGGGGGAGGCACCAAAGACCTTCAGATAGGGTAGCAAAGAGCGGGTGGAGGAGAGGGAGGGAGGCGGGGAGAGGCTGCCCCTCCTACCTTGGTGCTGGCCACGCCGATCTCCGGGCCCGCGTTGATGTGCACTCCGCAGTCGGTCTCGCGCGAGATGGAGCTGCCCACAGTGTTGGTGACGCCCACGGTGAGTGCACGGCGGTCCTTGCAGTAGCGCAGCGCCAAGAGCGTGTCCGCGGTCTCGCCTGCACACACACAGGGCCCTCAGTGCGCGCCGCCACCCGTGCCCCCAGCCCGCCCCACGCGTGTGCAGAAATCAGTCTGCCCAGCCCGCTGACTCCTAGCTTCAAAGATTCCTAGCCATCTGTGCGGAGCAAGTCCCTGATCTCTGACGGTACCTGGAGCCACCGTCCTGCCCCCAGACAAGGTGAGAGGTAATTCTCCAGCCCTGCAGCTGCAGCTGACCAACGGACCTAAGCTGCTTGGTCGGGACCTGAGGCTCCAGAGTCAGCAGTGAAACCCGGAGCGCCCCAGTGCAGTGCTTCTCAAACAGGTCGTTGGAAAGGAAACAGTCCTGCAGCCTCCTGATATGGACTCAAGCGGTATTTCCCATAAAGCTACTGAAACAGGTTCATGCACAAACACAGGCAAACTCTGGGCTGCTAAGTCTTGAGGAATTTAACCCAAATAACCAGGAGCCAGACCACGGAGTCAAAACCACCGAATCCATGCGGGCCTCCCACTGCGCTGCAGCCGCTGCTCTGGCTGGGCTCATCCTGGCCTTCTGCAGTGTGGTTGGTGCTCAAGGGGTCCAGCTCTCCTCTACTCCTGGCCTTGCCCAGCACGAGGTGGGGTGGAAGGGAAACCAGGAGGGCAGGCAGCATGGTCATCAGACCGGCCCCTCGTTCTACTTTTGTGTTTTGAGACAGGGTCCAGGTATGTATATGTAGTTCAGGCTGGCCTTGAAGTTACTCGTGAGTTTTCCCCCCCCGTATAGAGAGCCTCAAGCTGACACTCTGTTATTTTGATATAAAATCCATCTTTTTCCGCTATACTGGAGATTGATCCGCCTCCTCCCGTGTTAGGGTTACAGGCTTCAGTTGCCACGCTGGACTCCAGCTCTGTTCTTTTACTATCGTCTCCTGCCAAGCCACGAAAGATCTTTTGTCTCTAATGGGACAGTCCACTCAAAGGTGAACACAGCAGTCCTTGGGCAATAGGTGTTCGGACACACAGTAGCTGTGTCCGCACTAGTTCTTTTTCTAGGTTTTTTTTTGTTTGTTTGTTTGTCTGCACTAATTTTACTTAGCTTGACATCAAAATGGAAATGGTATTAAAAACTAAAAATGGAAGCAGGCAGTATTAAAAGCCATGATGCCAAATTCTCAGCTGTGATGATAACCTGTGGTTACATCCGTGTCTTTTATCACATATTCTGAAGTTTTCAGAGGAAAGGACACAGTGTCTTCAAGGGCAAGGTTAATGTGGGTATGGCTGGTACAGATTAGCTGAATTGATCACTGCTACAACAAGATGATGAGTTATGTGAATTTCTCTTTTATAAACATTTGGAGTTCTTCATAACTGAAATGTTTCAAAAATCCTCTTAAAGCTCAGAAGCACTCCATAGCACATGACTACGGATCGCCTCTGGACCCAGTGCTCAACCAAGCAAGAGCACAGTCCTGAAGTATGAGTGCTAGTGAGGCACCCAGCTGGGGCTTGCCCTCCTAGGAGAAGCCCCCAACCAGAGCAGCGACCTGGCATCTCCCCTGCTGGGCAGCGGACACCACACCAGGGGGCAGCATGGCTTGGGCACTGGACCCACACTGAGTCCTCAAAGTGAATCTCAATCCAACAGAATTTTGAATGAGTTTTTTTTTTTTTGTACACTAAATTAAATCCAACAGACGTTTATGGTCCTTAAAGTGCTAGACTTGGGACGGCAGGAGCAGGGAGAAGCCATAGGGCAGGGGACACAAAAACAACGTATCTGGATTCTCAGCCCAACTCCAGCTCTTTCACACCCTTCGCTACACAACTGTGTCAGTAACTGATACCTTTAAGGGTTCAAAGCCCTGCTGCACAGGGTGTGAGTGGCGCAGGGCAGCAGCACGGAGGGTTAACTGGATAAGGAAGGGAGGACAGCACGTGGCGTGGTGCAGAAGAGAGAGTGGGAGACAAGCTATTGCAAATGTGGCAGTGCTACCTCTACCCCTTACCGGACTGGCTGACGAAAAAGCAGACGTCGTCCCTGAACACAGGTGTGTTCCTGTCCAGAAAATCACTGGCGAGCTCAACCATCACAGGGAGCTCGGTCAGTTCCTCCAACACTTGTCGTGTCTAAAGACAGAAAGAATAGAGAGTAAAGTCAATCTTGGGTACCACAGGGACCCAGGGCACGGCTTCAAGGAATAGTTTGTGACATGGTGCTGTAGGGACAGATTAAAAGGGCACAGGCAGAGAGCACAGGAGAAGACCGGATGGCCCACAGTGTAAAATCATCACATGCTTATCTGCGTACCATGTGCTGGAGAAATGTGCCCTACCGGATGCTTGAGAGATGTACTTCCTATGAAAGCGTTACTCACATTCACTTAAGAAATCCCCAGCTGACCTTGTCCCCTTCCCAGAAACAAAGTCTAAGACCCTGACTGGCCTAGTTGCACCAAACCAGCTTACTCTTCTAAGTGTGAAGCATACCCCAAACCCAGCCGGTGTCTAGGCCCACTCTGCTAAGATAGCTTTGCTTCTGCTTCTCTCTGCATTCGCCGCGCTTTAAACAACTTTCTGCTTTGTACTGTACCAGTCTTGACCCCCTGTTTCCCACTAAGAGCCCCTCTTCTTCATTCTTTGGCGTGAGGGCAAGGACCAGAAGAGAGACAGAGAGTCAGGACCATCAGCAGGGCCCTCACCCTCACAGCCCCTGCCCAACGCAGCAGTGCTCGCTGTCCTGTGGGAGGGGGCTCACAGAGGAAAGGGCTGGTGCCATTCCAGGCTGGCTTATGGCCATGGGTGCGGGCCCTGTGCTGCATTCAGAGGCCACGAACACTCAGGCCGCTATACCCGCACTGTCCAGGACCCGGCATGGTGCACTTACAGCTACAGCAGCATGGTAGCTGGTTCCACAGCCAATCACGATGAGCCTTCGGCACCGTCGAATCTCCTTCAAGTGGTCCTTCAGGCCACCTAGGAGCACTGCAGGACACATGGCAGTGTCAGGGCTGGGTCTACACAGTCACTGCTCACTGCACAGGGCACAGCAGGGGCTCCTGATGCATTTTGGGATTACCTGTGTTGGTCTCAAAATTCACTCGGCCTCTCATGGTATTGAAAACGGATTCTGGCTGTTCGAAGATCTCCTTTTGCATAAATGCACTGAAGTTACCTGGTCAAACAAACACCAGTGAGGTGGGTTAGTTTCAATTTAGTTTCATTTCCACTGCTTAACTTTTACCCAGGAAGAAAAATCATTATAGTGATAGGGACACCTGTACAGCCATCACAGACTTCAAGGGCATCCCCAGGTAATACTCTGCCTGATGCTCCTTGGGCAGGCAAGCAGGCTGGGCACAAGGCTTGCAGCTCAAGGGAGGGAGGGAGGGAGGGATTTACATGAGGTCTGCAAGGAACAAACAGTGGACCTGGTTCTCTTGGTCCATGCTCCCTTTAGGAAGGACAACCCCCACTCCTCCTGGGTTGAACTCAGGGCCTTTGGCATCCTGGGCAAGTGCTCTACCACTGACACACTCCCAGCCCTGGCAATTTCCTTGTAATAAATACCCTCCCAGCTTCTACAACAGAGACAAACTTCATCCAGCCACCTGCATATTTCCAGACCCCGATCTGCATGGGACTTGACGATCTTTAAGGAGACAGTCTGGCCTCAGGACTTCAAGCCCCTGTCTGAGGCACAGCATGAGTGACCTGGAGGCTTTCTGAGACCTGATGGGCACCTTGTCTCATGTCTGCTGCCTGGGACAGAACTCTACACAGCACAGCGAACTGAGGGAAGAGGTCTTTTGTCAGGAGAGCTCAGGAGGGGGCCTTGGTGTTTGAAGGATCAGAGAGGGAGCGCTGAGGGTTGTTTCAGGGGAGCTCAGGATGATCTGGAGGTCATACTGTTCTGTGATTGCAACAGTAACCGCAAGGACCGCCAGACAAGCTAGTGAGACAGGGTAAGTGCAGGGAGACAGGCTCTGCTCACAGAGGTGTGGTCCATGGTCCTCAGCCACAGACCTTCCCCTCAGAGAAGAAATGATGCTGGGGTATAGGAAACCATCCCAGGGAGTCGTGATGTACAGGGGTCACATCAAGAAGATTTCTCTTTGGAGTATAGGTCAGGCTCTCCACAGCTCCTCAGTTATGCAAGTCACAAGCCACCTGCAGTCCTGCCCTGGGGGCCACGATGGGCAGAAGGGGGCTGAGTGTCAGGTGCTCCCCAAGACTGCTGCACAGACTCTCAGAGGATACCTGCCTTTCATGATTTGCTGTAATTCCATTTGCAAGGTCTGGATGGCTCGAGATGGGTCATCACTAGCTGAGCGTTTGATTCGGTGAATGGAGAGTTTCCCATCAGCCACCGCAGCGATGTCATCATCCTCCAGGAAGATGACCCTGTTGGTGTGTTCTATGATGGCGCTGCAGGGAAACATGGGCATCATAATTACCCTGCTCTGAACAGTTCCAAAGTCACTTACTGTTTCCCAAGAGTGGAGTCAGCATCAGTGGCATTTTAGGAGTGACAGTGACATCACACTGAAAAGATCAACTTACAGTGAATCCCCTCCCCATCCATCCTTTCCCTTCCCCCTCAGAGTTATTCTGGAGGCCATCAGGGTTACCCTAACTTTAACCTATCCCTAACCCACTGGAGAATACATGGAGACATTATACACTTTCTTCTGTAAACAGTTTAGGTTATATCTCTAAAAGCCAAGGAATATTTTCAACCTACTGGAATACTCACATCATATCCAAAATTCATAGTTATTCCTTGATATTATCAAATATCTGATAAGTTAAAAATTCTTCAGTAATCTCATGGATGTCTTTTTATACTTAACTTTTCTTCAACTCAAGAGCCAAACCTTTGGAGAATGCTCAGGAGCCAGTATACTATTCAAAATTTTAAAGGCAAAGAAGGAAGCATTTATCTTGCTTTTTAAAGCAGCCTGACCTTTAGAATAACTCCATAGTTATTAAGACAGGTTTCTCTTTATAGAAATAATATAGCCAGTAAAAAAAAAGAATGACAGAATTAGAATTATCATTTTGGGAACTCCAAATTATTAATAGTTGTATTCAAGGATTATCCATGGATGTTGAAACTGAAAGGTAAAAAGCTGAGGGAGTTTTGTAATGGATGGATAAGGATGGCAGTACTTGAACACCTGATGGATCTTAGTACAAGAAAAGAGACAATGAGACATCAGGTGCCTCCTGGTGGGAAGACACACCACCAAATACGTAATCTTGCCCAGTAAGATTCAAACCCAAAAGTTGAATATGACCAAATCTATAGACATATGTAAACTCAATGGACAGAAGATCCTGTTAAACAAAACTATAGGGCTGTACTCAGAAAAACCCGGAGGGCAGGAAGGCCAGATGACCCAGTTTCTTAAGAAAGACATGCAGACAGCAAGACTAAAAGGGGACCTAAACCCCACCGAAAAGGTATGCTCTTCACTGACATGCCAGGCCATTGTGTTTATTTTTATAACTTTACACTAATGAAAACTAATAAAGATTTTTTTCCCTTCCACCTTAGCTGCTTTTTCTTGTTGCTGAGGCAGAATACCCAACACCCAAAGTCAAAGGAAGAAAGGTTTATTTAGCTCACAAGTTGTAGAGGTTTCAGTCCACAATCGGTCGGCTGCAAGGCAGGGTGGCATAGCAGAGGACAAACACTCCACGGCAGGCAGAAGTCAGCAAAAGCAAGTGACAAGACACAAGAGGCAAGCCTCTTTCTTTTCCTTATATTCTATCCAGGCTGTAGCACTCACGCCTTTAATCCCAGCGTTGCACCATGAATCAATTCTAGCATCACACACTCTAGATCCAGCCACCTCTGAAAAGCCCCACCTATGATTGCATGAGGCTTGGGGGGACATCTAGACAAGCTGTAACACCTTTAGATTGTGACAGGAAGTTTAAAACATACATTAAAGTTTTAAAAAGTGGGTCTATAAAAAATGTGTGCGATCAGCAGCACAGGTCACACAAAACCACGAGGGCAGAACTGAGGAACTGGGGAGGGGGCTTCATTCCTCTATGGACCACATCCACCTACCTCCGCAGAAAAATGCAAAAGCAAGCTATGGCTTTAAGAAGAATGATCTCCATTTAGATTCTAGGGGAAAAGATAAAAGGATAGAAAGCTATTGTACTAGAAAAATATCTTAAATAATACATAGCAACCATATAGAAAGTAAAAAATACAGAGGAAGAAGAAATGGCCTCTGAGAAATAACACTGCTGACGTTGTAGCACCGCACCCCGGCAATGCTTGATCCATGTGCATCTATATGTGTGTGTGCAGGTTGAAATACAAGTACTGTTTTCATTTACAGAATGGATGGTGACACCATCCAGGCATGAGGACCACTGCTGTGGGGATTCAGTCAACGTGAGAACCCTCCGAGACACCTCCTGGGGTCCTGCTGTGGGACGGGAGGTGGCCACTGCTCTCACCTGGGGTCAGTTGTGGCAATTAAGGAGGCCCCTGCACAGCCCCAAGCTGCACAGGCATGGTCCTGGCCCTGCCAGGGTGCCACATTGTGTCTGCACATCTGGCTGGACGGCCCTTGCTAGTCTTTTCAGTGTGGGGTGTGCCCCAGACACATGCACAAAATGTAATCCCCGAAGGTATGCATGGACAGCATGTGGAGGTGGCATCTTTAAGAGGCGACTGGGTCATGATGGATGAATGGATGAGTGAGTTATCACGGGAGTAGTTTTGTTTTAAAAGTGTGTTCTCTGTTTTGCCCAGTGGTGTCCCCTGTTGTGTCATGATGCAGCTAGAAAACCCTCTCCCCTCCACTGGGTCTAAAGCTCTTGTTCTCATCAATCCACAAAATCATAATTTTTGAGAACTTTTTATGCAGCAAGAGATGCCAATACATGCTCTTAGACTTCTCAGCCTCCAGAACCATGAGCTAAATTAGTCTCTATTCTTAAGAATTGCCTAGTCTTGAGTATTTTGTCACAGCAACGGAAAATGAATAGGCTTTTTTTTACATATTACAGAAACACTTTTAAAGTTTTAAAAACATAAGCAAACAAAAGAACCTTGAAGGTTTTAATTATAACACTGAATTTATAGATAGGGGGGGAATTGATCTTTTTAAAATCTTTACTTGTTAAATTTTAAAATTTAATTCTCCCAACTTTAAAGTCATGTGAAGCCTGGCTGAGCTCAGATCAGCTAGTTTTTCCAGGGAAGCTAGAAATGTGAATGAGCAATCTCTTCATGTATTCAAGTTTCTTCTTGTTTCTCATTGTAAATTTTTGGAGTCTTCTCCAAACATTTTTTGCGGCCATTTTTATTAAACGTTATTCTAAGAAATGTAATTAAAGTGCTTTTCTTCAGCTGTGGCGAGTAGCATTGTTTTCCGTTTAACAAATATTTGCAGAGAGCCTGCTGCACCTGGCAGGGTGAGGACTCGAGGCGGTGGCCGTCCTCGCCCGGACAGCCGAGGGTTCAGCAGCAGTCTGGGACCAGGACCTGTTCGTCCGTTCCCGCCCAGCCGCCGGTGTTGGTGTTAACAGCCTTGCCACTGGAGTCCAAGGTGTCATCACACTGCCTACCAATCATCGTCTCGTTTTCCTCAGGCACTTATCCCTTTTCTAATTTTAGAAACATCTAAAATATTTCTTTTTTTTAGTATCAGGTTTCTTTTATTGTGATTTAGGTACCACTGAGTATAAGATCACAGCTTTTTTGTATGCTTCTAAGAAATAAAAAATTTCAGCAAATTAAACTTCAAGATAATACTTATGGATACAGAAATAATTGTGTGTAAAAGAACCGTGTCTTGGAATCAGCTTCTCGTGGAAACACTGTTTCAGGAACAGCGTGGGGAGTGCTGGCCTTCACTCAGCGTTGAGGAGGATGCGGCTCACTACTCACTCGCTCCACTGTCCCACTCAGGTCCCAAACAGTGGAGAAGAGGGTCTGGGCTGTGCGAGAACACAGTGGCTGGCCACAGGAGGGCTCAGAAACAGGGGCCTGGGCCTGGGCCTGGGCCCAGCTCAAACGGGGGTAAGAGGCCGTTGGGCCAGGGATGCCACTCCGCTCTGCAGCAGAGCCCTTGCCCATCGGGTACCAGGCCCACCGCTGCCACAGGGTGGGGAGACACAGCCAGGCAGTCACTTCTTGGTTATATAATCCCAGGAAAGGAAGGTGAAAAGGTTTTGTTACCTTGCATCAGAAGCAAAGAAGAATTCCACGGCTTTGTCACCCACAGCGTGAAGGCAGGTGGAGCTGTCCAGCCTCTTCATCCTCGTTTTACAGATATTCTTCACATTCTCAACATTGCCTAGTAAATAAAGGAACCCACTGCAAACCCCCAGCCTACTTCATGTGCATAACACGTGGCAAAGAACCAATTTCCCCTTTGAATACGTGTGGGAGAAATTTGCAATTTTTAGCTTTGGTTGTGTCAGCCAAATCATGGAAAGCTCCCCAAATAGCACAGCACCACTGCAAGACCATTTAAGTGGCATACAAAATCAAGCTGAAGAAGCTGGGTCAGGTGCCCTCGCCACTGTGCAAAGCTGCCTGCTGTTCTATTTCTGTGTGTGTTTGAAAATATCCGCAATGAAAAGCTTTTAGAAAGATGGAGCCGAGTCTGCATACACATCTTCTCGATCTGGGGCCCGTGCCAACTGAGTGCCAGTCACACAGAAGCTGCCCGCCTCAGGCAGAGGGCAGCTGGCGACGTGGGGCTACCGAGCCCTGAGACACTGGCCTTCACTGTTCAGGTCCTCCCAGAGCTTACACGTCCTGTATAAGATGGGGATCTGCTCCGTGGAGAGTTTGCATTTGCTCCGAACTCCGATGAGCAGTGGACTGCCTCTCCTGGAGGGAAAAAGCATCATCAGCCATGCTGTGGACACCCTGGGCTACGGGTCCTCCCAGCACTGGAGGTGGAGCGCCTGAACCCAGCCATATTCCTGGAGCAGAGAGTTGTTTAGGGTGGGTGCCTGACCACAGGAAGATGTTCTAAGACTCGGAGCAGGGACTGCAGGCCAGCATGTGAACCAGCTCATGAACGTGGGGTCACCCAGCTGCCCCACAGTCTGCGGACCTGTCCCCACCTTAGCCGGACTCAAGACTCCTGCAGCTCAGCGAGTCACCACAAGTGACTAACTCCCAGGTAGGATTCAGCGAATGGGTGTTTACATCAGAACAGACTGACAGTACAAGGAGCACGGTGAGTCTCTGCTCCATGAGCAGGCGCGCCTGACGTCCAGGATCAGCCAAAGACTCCCGTCTGTGTCTCCCTTTCACCTAGCTCAGCTGTCCTCTAGCTTTCGTCGGCACGAAGCTGAGCCTTCAGCTGGCATCTACAGACTCAACATGATACAGACTGAAGGTATTTGGGAAAAACTGCCTTGGTGAACACATACAGACTTTTATGGGTCATTATTCACTAAGCAATAAAGTATAACCACTATTTACATAACGTTGACATTTCATTCATTAGGATAAGTAATCTCGAAGTGACTTGAAGTATATGGGAAGATGTGTATAAGTTGTGCACAAATGTTGTGCCATTTTATTTTTTTCAGGGCAAATGGCCCTCCCTGCTTTCTTTCCCTCCGCCTCCCCCTTCAACCCCTCCTTCCCCACACCTCTTTCTTTCTTTTCCTTCTGTGGTTTCAGAAGGAAACAAAGGGCCTCACAGGTGCTGTCCAGTGCTCCACCACTGAGCTACCTCTCTAGCTCTTTTTATTTTTATTTAATTATTTATTTTTGGTACTGGATATGGAACTCAGGTCCTTGTGCTTTCAGGGCATGCGGCGGCACCAATGGGATAAATCCTAGGACCCCCTTTTTTTTTTAATTTTGAGAACAAAGTCTTGCTAAGTTGACCGGTCTGGCCTCGAACTACAATACTCCTGAGTCGGCTCCCAGGTAGCTGGGTTTACAGGAATGCTGTACCATTTTTCACAAGGGACTTGAACTGGAACATCCAGGGATTTTGTTATATGCAGGAGGACTGACTCCAGGACCCCTGGAGATGTGGAGGGAAGACTACTCAACTTCGTGGACTGCTTAAGGCAATTTCCAGGTGGCTTTCTCTGCCTGAGTGGGATCTCATAGATGAAGTTTAGAATCTTTGACCTACACTACATGGACTTGGTCATAAAAGGGACAGTGGCTTTCCCAAGGTAAAAGCTTGGAGGAGTTTCTGTAGCTGAGCAAGGCAGAGCTCAGGTCTCCTTCCCTTGTGCCCTGCTCAGCACCAGCTCCTGGCTCTCTGGTCATGGTGGAAGGGCTTCATGATACCGCCTCTGATCCACAACTTCTACCAGTGTATGTGCTTAAAGTATCATTCCACGAAGCCTAATGGCATCTTGCCTTTAAAATCTAATTCTTTGCTCCTTCTTAGAAATTACAACATACAAATAAAATTAACAATGGATGTGCATAGAAATGGGTGGATCACTTCTGCAGCTCACACACTCGAAACCTCCCATTCTTAGACTCCAGGAAAGGTAAAATTCCAGTTCAGTCCTCACTCCCTTCCCTGTGGGATATGTTCTGAGACTACTGGGTAGATACCTAAAACCATGGATAGTACCAAACTCTGTATGTGAAAGTTTTTTCTATACATATCTATGATAAGTTTAATTGTTTATAAATCAGGCACAGTGATAGATTAACAGAACAATTACAACAATACACTGTAATGATACATGCTATTTTAAATTTATAACTGATTATTTCTAGAATTTCCCACTGAATCTTGCCTGTAGGTAACCAGAATTTTGGAAAGCAAAACTAGATAAGGGAGACTCCTGTAGTTACTAAGGGATGTAAGCTTCCTTCCCACTACACACTGACTTACAGATAAGCAAACAGAGGGCTAGGGTCACAGCTGAGTGGTAAAGCATGTGCCTAGCATGCATATTTTGATCCTCAGCACCAAAACAAACAAGCAAAAAACCCAAAACAACACTACAACTTTTTTATAAGACCATTTACAGGAGCTGTATCAGACACATTAACTCATTATAATGGAGTAATATTTTACTTCAGGCAATTTCCTACAAATGTAGACAATAAACAACTTGTTCACTAAACAGCCCACATATATGCATTTGATCTGCTGACCTGAGTCAGTGCAGATCCTTAACATTTGTTCAAGTATAAGAGGCCTTGGTTTCCAGGAGTGTTGATCTGTCTGGATCCCTCTTTTGACTACTCAGAGTGTGGCAGATAAAGGTGCTGTGAACATCCTGAATGTTTTGGGCAGTCTTTTATTGTGTCTAAATCAGAGACTGTTCCGGGTCCAGAGGGAACTAGCTCAAACTGTCCTTCCCAATAATGTCTGTGAGGAAGTATATGGTTATCTAATTTTCTTGGCAAATGGCACCCCCAAATCTTATTGCTGTAAATTGAACTCTGAAGTTTCTTGGGATTTTGAGACAAAGAATTCTCCCAAGATATCCAAAAGATTGTCCTGGAGGCTACAGAACCAACACTAATAGGCAATTTAGAAAAATAAAGCTTTCTTGCTTCTTCAAGCTGCCTTCTGCAGCCATTTTAAATAGTAACAGTAGATACTGTCATATTTTAAAGGGCCTTCTAAATTTAATAGCAGCCAGTATTTTATAATTCTATGATAAAATTAGAAGAAATTAAATTCTACATGTTAAATTAGTTCCAGTCCTAGAAAAAAATTAAGTCACGCTAAATTCGTATCATTTCCTGCGTAGTTACTCTAAGAGACTTCGAAGGACAGCTTCAGCCTCTCTGCCTCATCTCCAAGGACCACAGGAACACTCTCCATGGCTCCTCTGAGATTCATAATGAAGCCTATAGCTCAGCACAGGCCCTGAGAGCAGAGCCTCTCCCTAAGTGTCCATACCCTAACAGCCTGAAAATTGCGGGGCCATATCCACCCCAGCTGTGTCCCGCTGTCCTCCACACCTGGCCCCTGCACACGTCTGTAAGCACACACTGAGACCAGGAGCCCCAGCTCCTCCACCCTGCCGCCATCCCGGCCACTTCCGAGTGCTGAGGTGCTTGCTGTACTCTCTCTGGGCCCCTGGCTCCCCATCTGGTAAGAAGGCGCTGGCTCTGTCCAGGAAGATGTTCCTGCTGTCTGCCTCCCAGGATGACGCCTGCTCCCCCTCGGGCTCAGGTGCATGGACCCTCCCAGCCCCATCACAGATCATCAGAATCCTCTGCCCTTCTCTGCCTCGTCCCTAAGAGCGGAGCCCAGGTCAGGCGCCACCAGGTCTCCAGAAACCAGCATACAGCAAGTGCACAACAAACAGTGGATGGAATATAAAATACAAAATTTCAGGATGGCACTTACTCTGCTTCTGTGAATTCAAGCGGTGCTGGACACCACGGAAGAAGCTAGGACTGAGGGACTGTGGGCCAATCCCAGCTCTCTGGGCTGGTTCTTGGGGTGCCCCTGACATGAAGGAGATGGGACCTTCAAGGACACGTTCTGAACCTTTAAGGACTTTGCAGGACTGAACTGAAATCCATATGGACTTCGGTTTTCAGTTCCATGGTCACAATTTTGCCTGTTTTCACACAGAGGAATGTCTCCAAAATTGGACAAGCCTCAAGCCCCACAAAACCAGGCTCTGGCCCCACTGTAGTTTGTTTCATTTTTGATCTGAATTTGTTGTCAACTTCTAAAACTCTGGACATCTCTCACAAAAATTCAACTTTCCGGTTTCTTTTTTTTTTTTTTTTTAAATCAGGTGCTGTAGCACCACTGGCAACCGAGACATCAGGGTGGTCTCTGGGTTGAGCCACAGTTGTGCCTCAGATCCAGCAAAGCACCTCCCAGTTAGCCCAAGGTCCTACCCTCCCATCCTGCCTAGACCCAGGTGACTTCACCTCAGGCATTTACTATGTATAACTCAATGAATCTGCCTCACCTTGTGGCTACAGCTTCTCCTGGGTAGTGGATGCTCTTGAAAACCAATGCAAACGCGCCTTCCTGGAAGCAGAGGAGAGAAGGATGAAGGACGCTCTGTCCCTCACAGAGCAGCCTCTGCCCAGGCAGTCTCCAGACCCTTCTTCCTGGCAGGAGTCCTGGGGTCACTCGAGGGCTGAATGGAGGATCAGCTTGGGCGGGGCAGGACAGGAGAGCACAGAACAGCACCACGCTGCAGTGCCAAAGACCAGAACTTGTGAGATTTAGGATGAGCAGCATAAACTTCACGCGTTTGCCCAGACTCAGTGGGCCCCCTGTCAGTGATGCCCACCTCTGGGACCATCTGAGGTGATGGGTACAACTAAAGCTGCTTTCTCCTCCGGGAAGGGCTGCCCCTTGGACAGGCTCCTCGGTGTGATAGGACTCTGCTCCCTGGGTCTAGCCCTGTGCGACGTCCACTTGCTCTTGCTCTCTCCCCAAGTCATTCCCTGCAGCATGGAGATGTGCTCTTCTGTCTGCTACTCATGCTGGCACGAATGCACAGCCCTCTGCTCTCCCTGAGCTGTACCTTTGCACTCTTCTATAATCAACAGCTCACTTCCCCTGCCCAACTCCTGCAAGGTGCCTTCCATTGGATGTTGCTACCCATATCACAGAGCTCTCTATTCCACGGGATGTGGCATCCCAAGGGTAGGCACCTTCATCCTCAATACTTTCATCCTTAGTACTTTGTGCAGATTTGCCTGATAAGTGCTCATGAAAAATGAAGGAATAAAGAAATGATTTAGAAAAATGGGACCTGTAACTCACCAACTGCTGAATGACTCTCTCGACCAGTGTTGAAAAAGTAATGTCCTCAGTTTCCCTATTGTCGAACACGTATTTAATCAGCTTGGCGATGGTCTCTGTGTCGGTTTCTGACTCAAACTCATAGCCTTTGCTTTCCTGGAACATAAGGTTGGCCATGGGGGGACAGATCACGGTCATTGCACAATGCTGGCCTGGCCTGGCCCACTCCTTCTGGTCCCTTCTGATTTGACTGATGGCGAGAACAAGTAAAACTGGGAAGGGACAAAAAGTGTTTGCCAGAATCACACAGCCAAGTGCCTCTGAGTCATCTCAGTATTTCCTGAGATCATTCTTCTCTGGAAACTTGTCTTTGCCAGTAATCTGGATATTGCAAAATAACAGCAGTCAAATCTACCACATCCCAACCAACACCACCCAACCTTCTGATATAGGGACACTCACCGTCTGACTTCCCGCCCACCTTCCAGCTGGCATGAGTTGTGCAGCCACTTTACTACAACCAAACTCATGCTAGTTTTCATCTATGACTCTGCAGTTGCTCTTGATAAATGCTAATGCCTTGGCTTCTTCCTAAAAAAGATCTGAGCTGGGAGGCTTAGCAGGGGCTGAGGTTGATGCTGTGTGTGACAAGAGTTGAGAGAGTCTCACCGTTCGGAGGGAAAGTTTCTGGAAATCTAGACCACTTGGTTTAGATGTTCCTCGGGGAAGTATCTTACCAGAAATTTCCTCAGATCTTTGTAATTTGTGATGATTCCATTATGGATGACAACAAATTCTGAAAGAAAAGTTTAGTGAAGACAAATACGCTGTTAAAAAATGAAGTTCAAGTCAGACGCAAAAAGAAAAAACAAACTTGATGGCTTGTAAGCACTCTGAAAACTGACTCCTACAAAGACTTCCACTAAGCAAGCCTCACTCATACTGATCAGGACTGAGGTCTGCTATGAAGAAACACACACCGTCTTTCAGTAGCAAGACTGCCTGCCTGACCCTGCAGAAAGTTCTTACTGCGTTCTGCAGGATTCTCAAATAACTCATCCTGATCTGGAAATGACTCCAGTCCTTTCCACCAGGATTTTGACTCAAAGGGGGTCACAACCTAATGGTTTGCAGATGTGCTTTATTTGATTCACACTGAATTATAACAATATTTGAGTTTAACATTCTTTGTTTCACTTTAAAATTCTTAGGGGGAAAACCCTGAAGTTGGGGTGTCCCAATGCTCCCAGATCTTCCTGCGCTGCTTTCCAGCAGGGTGAGCCAGGGCAGTCTCCCCCACCTCCTGGGCACCCTCCGCACACCCTTTGCTGAGGGGGTTCCCTGCACAGGGGGTCTCTGAAGACCTAGGAGGTGAGGGTGTGCTGCTCGGCCCCAGTGCTTTGCCCCCGGAAGTGGCTGATGAGGAACCCAGCATGAGAGACGGGGTGGGGGGGAAGGACACGCCTCTCCCTTTCGCCCTGGATGGTGGGTTCCTTATTCCTGTGGGACCTGGTAATCATCTGGATGTGTCTAGATGTCAGATGCCCTTCATAAGTACTCTATTATCCAGTGATCCTCTGTGCTTATCTCCAGTTCAATTTTTTCTTCCACTAAAGACAGATTTTTTTCTGTTTCATATTTTTAACCTTTTTCTGTTTGTCTTTTCTTTATGTTGGTCACCATTAACTTCTGCTTTTTGTTTTTTGAGTGTTTTTTTTTTTTTAGAAAATCTGTTTTGTGCAGTCACACAAAAAATGAAAGGGCTTGAGTAAGATAAGCCTGTGCTTGAAACATTATCATTACGTGTTGAGCTATATATCACATGGTGGCCTGTAAACATGTAGTTTTAGGGTTTTTATGTATTAGTCAAAAATGTTTAAACTGTAAAGAGAGGGAGAGAAGCCCAGATTCAGCAGTTGTGCTGGTCTGGCCACAGCTCTGCCTGTACCTTTTTTTTTTGCTATTCAGTTTGGTTTTGGGTCGGGGGGGGGGGG